GCTGAGCAAAAATTATAAATAAAATTATAACTTATTTAATTTCTTAAATTATTCTTCAATTGTGCTCATGATCTTCATGTTCTTTAAATTTCTTTCTTCATGGAACATTATAAGATTCAAGGATACATGTTTTGATCTTTGACCTTGTCATAGATCCTTTGAATTGCAAATGTTGCTCTTCAAGTTCTTCTCATATATGTTTCAGGAGATAGTCTTCTATGACATGATGGTTAATTCTTGAGGTTATGTATGTACTTAAAGTATGATTGAAAAAGGATTCCAAGGAGGAAATTCCCATGGGTGATTTCATGTGTTGTTGATTTGAATGTAAGAAGCTTTGTTCTGATGGGTTATCCTGACACTCTAATGGTCATGCATTCTCAAGTAGAGAGGGTGAGACATGTGGTTAAAGTAGCAGGAGGTCCTAGTCTAGGGGCTTTAGCTTGGCCTAAGGCGTTGGTTAACAGATTAACCTTGTCTGGTAGCTTTGAGTGAGTCAGTTGTTCCATCACACAAGTGCATAACCCACCATGATCCTAGCCTGAAGGCTTTTCTCCATTTGGAAAAGTGCGTTTTAACGAACTAACCTTATGTGATAGCTAAGGGGGGTCAGTTGTTACACCACACCAAGGGAAGAACATGTTAAAGCTCGACATTCATAGTATATCCGGATGAGTCAGGTCTATGGTTGTTGTGTGGTTCTAAAATGTGTGAATTCTTGGGTTGAGGATATATATTGAAATTTAAATATTATGTGATACTTCTTTTCATACTAGCTTACCCTTGTTTTTGTCTTTGTTAGTCCGTGTATGTTTCTCTTTTGCAATGATCACCTTAAATGGTGTGAGCTTAGGGAGGGGATATTTCTCAATTTGTTTCAGTGTGAAGAGAAAGATGAAGCAATAGCTTAGATAAGTCCGTTCTTCAAGTGTATAATCTCCATCTATAGAAATCTCAAGTTTCTTGTTATGTAACATTTTATTTTAGTAATTTTATACTATTAAAATGAGATATTACAAATTACCTACACAAAAAATTCTTAAACAATATAAAAAATTTGTAAATAAAATTAGGTTATTTACGTATTTATTATAAAAAAAAATATCTAAATAAATTACTAATAGTTAATTTACAAATGTAAAAATTCCTATATAAGTTAGATACGAATAAATTTGTAAATAAAATTTAAACCTACAATCATGTCAACCTCTTTTCTTTTTCTTTACCCATTTTTGGCATATATTTATAAGCAACCACATCATTTGGATATGCTTCCATTCTTACATTATTCAAAATACATATTTCTACCATATGCACATTCATACCTTCAAATTTCATGTTGAAAACTATAATTTTGGAAACAAGTTTTCATCCAAATTTCATCATGTTTTAAGAAAGTTATCACTAATGATTTTTTATGAAAATAAAGATGTAATTGTGTAATTAAACAATTACTATTTAAAATTAAAAAAAACATGAAATGTTATAAAAATACTCAATCTATATATTATTACCCTAAACATAATTGAATATATATTATTATTATTATTATTATTATTATTATTATTTTCATACATGTAAAAAAATTATTTGTATCCTTTTTATGAACCCAAATTTGTCATCAAATTGTAAAACATTGTTTCGTCATTCTAAACGAGAAAGCTGAACTTTATTTTTTTTTATCAAGGGTTTTTTTTTATGTAAGTAAATTTTAAAATTATTTTACAAAAAATAAAATTTATTTTACAATATCTTCGTAAAATAAAATTTAACATTAATTAGTATTGCAATGAGTTGGTTTCAATGATAATATAAGTTTATGAATTAATTTTAAAAGAATAATTAAAATCCATTTACGTTTAAGATTTGTTTAATTTAATGACATATTTTATATGGTGTATGTATTCATAGGAGGATGCATATAGTAGTGTTTGGACTGAAGACAAAAAAAATGAATATATATAACTTCGAGTTAAGAGAGTGAATTTAGAAAATGGGGATACAACAAAAAAGTTTCTAACTTTTGTTCTTTCAATACATAAAATTAGTCCATCTTTCTTTTGTTCCTCTTCCTTCTTAAAAGCTCATCTTAGTTATGGTTTTCTCCTTTATCCTTTGGTTTCTTGTTTTCCCTTAGTTGTGAAAATTTGTCTTATAGATTGTAAATGGAAAAACTTGTCTTCCTAGGTAACTACATGAAAACTTATCTTTTAGATAGTTGTGAGCAAGCTTAGAACAAGTAGAAACATGTGTACGTTTCTTCACTTTAAGTAATCTTCGGTAAGTTTCTTCACTTTCTCTTTTCTCTTGCCACTCATCCATGCATGTCAAGATCTTGGGAGAGATGAAACCTTGGTATTGTTTAACTCAATGTGTTATGATTGTTGGTTAGATTTGGATTCCTGAAATTATCAAATGATTAGGATGTTTTGCTTTATCATATTTCAAAACTCAATTTATTTGAGAAAACAGGTATTTAATGTAAAAGAAGATAATTTATTTTAAATTTCACTTTAGATTGTATACAAAATCCTAATTATGTAATTAAAAGATATGTTTTGTATGTGATTAATTCAGTGATCAAAATGAGTTATAAACTCTATGTGTTTGAAAATTGTTTTGTTATCACTAAAATATTTGAACATGTGTCAATATTGGTTACTAAGATATTTGTAAGTTAGGTTTAAGATCTTTTATGTGATCAACCTATTTAATACATTTTTAATTGAAGAAACTCTATGTGTTTGAAATCGTCTAATTCAATCTTTGAAAACATATCACATTCTTGATATGATGAATTGAGATATTTTGTATCTTAGTTATAATAATTATCTATATTACTTTTATAATTATAGTTTTATTGTCATAAAAAATATGAATGGGCCAGACTTGAATAGGTTTATCTTTAAAAATTGACAGATCTTTAAAATAAAACCATTTGAATTATTTTAAAATGTTTTCCCCTTCTCGCAAGAATCTTTTCTTTGTCTTTTTTAAAATAACTCTTTTATTTTTTTAATAGTATTTTATAATTCGCCTTAAGTTTACCACTGAAGCCATTGCAGCAATCGTAATAATCTGTCTGCTCCACTATGTGACAGTGATAGTGCTCTCGTGTCACACTTGATTGGTAAACAAACCTACTATTAAAATATTTATATAATTATACACCTACTATTTTTTATTTTAAATGTTCTCTTCCATGTTACTAGTATCTTTTTTCCACCCTTTCATTTATTATATTTCCATTTTAATTTTTTTTCACCCACATAATATATATATATATATATATATATATATATATATATATATATTATTTATATTATTATAGAATGTCCGTTTATAACTACTATTATCATTATTTTCTATGATACAAATGTTTCGTGGTACATTTTATTGTTCAAATGTGTGAAAAAAAAAATACGAACTCAAGAGTTTCCGCAATGGGTTAAAAGAGAAATTTATATTGCAGCTTTTATTTAATACGTTTTGAAAATAAAACTAAGATTGATATATTAATTCATTGAAAGAATGTAATAATTCATAGGCCATTCCAATCTTAAATATGGTTTTGATAATTTTTTTCATTTAGAAATTTTACATTTGACGTAATAGATTAATTTAAACAATGTTTTTTATTGTTTATTTTGCAATCGAATTATATCAGTTCGTTATTCAGAAGTTCGAAATTATACTAATATGATTTTCAAAACAATAGTTATAAATATTAGCAATTTTATTACAAATATTAACAATTTTTTCACAAATAGTAAGCTTTATTTTTTAATTTTATTATTTTGAATTAAAAAGCCTAATGTATTACGACCAAAGAAAAAATATAATTTAAATTTAGTTAATAAAATAACAATTATACTTTTTAAATCTTGACTTTTCAATTGTAGGTATTAAGATTTTTTTATTGAAATTATAAGTATTATTATCATAATAATTATGTTATACTTAATTAATAACTCTTATATTTATACACACCAAATGATGATTACATATCATCTTTATTTTGTCTTTCTATTTAATATTAAAAAGTTGTATTTTTATTTTTTACAATTTAAGCTTATATAAACCAGTCTCTCACCCTTGTGTAGTCATCGTCTATATAGAATACAAATTATATAGGATGAATCAAAGTAAATGATCAAATTAAAAAAATTCAGTCTGCCTCATTTTTTTTCTTGTCCTCAGAGTTCGCCTTATATTTCATGGACACTATATAAAATATATACTCACATTGCAATTTCATTTTAATTACCTTTTTTAGCATAAAACTTGTTTCTTTATATCGAGTTTCTTATATCAAATATAAACCAATCTTGTTTTTCAATAATGTAGAATTAAACCTAAATAAATAAATAAAATGATAATGTCTTACATCAAAGAAAAATGGCATATGTTATCAAAGGAGAATCTGACTCTATTTCTTGTTATACTAATAAAAAAATATATTATGTGTTGTGCAGAGTGTGTTATTATCAACGAGCAGACATGGCATTATATTATTAGTAAATAGACTATATAAATACCCACGCAAAAAGCATTTTGGCGGTGCATATTACAAAAATATACAACGGAATAAGGGTATATTTGACAACTTACAAAAATGACGATTAAACTGTAGATGTGCACAACGACTCCTAGCGATTATTCGACAGAAGCGCCATTCTCCAAAAAAAGCAAGTACTGCACGATCTACGGCATGCGTATTCGTAGCGCCACGCGTCAGCGTAGCAACGGTGGCTGGCACACCTTTCGAGGAACATATAAAACACGAGAATCTGATTGGGCCACGTGTAGCCTCAGGAAAACCACTAGTGGTTTTTCTGTTCCACATAAGTGGTTTCACTGCACCACCCAAAAGCTGTTTTCTCACTTTCCTTATATAGCTACTAAGCTCGTGCTGCTGATGCGCATTCAGCGCTTTGTCTCTTATAACCTACGCCTTCCTCAGTAATCACACTCTTTTCTCTCCTCTGCACAGTTTTTTTTTTTTTTTTTTAATCCTTTTTCCCCTTTAAGATTCTCTCTGTCTTTCTCGGAAAATCATTTGCTCTTCCTTCTTCACCACAGCATGTGGATCCAAGCGTCTATTTTCTCTTTCACAACCGCGTCGTTTTGATTTTCGCTTTTTTATTTTTTTCTGTTCTTATTCGTCTAATTGAAGTATCGGTTGTGGATCTGTTTTGCAGCTAGTGCTTTTCTGAATCGAAGGATCTGATTGTTAGGGTTTGGTATGGGGAGAGGAAAGATCGTGATAAGGAGGATCGACAATTCGACGAGTAGGCAAGTCACGTTCTCGAAACGAAGGAACGGTTTGCTGAAGAAGGCGAAGGAGCTTGCGATCTTGTGCGATGCTGAAGTCGGAGTTATGATTTTCTCCAGCACCGGAAAACTCTACGATTTCGCCAGCTCCAGGTACACGATTCCTCTATCGATCTATTTTTCTTTCTCTTTTTGTGGATGTTGAATGCTGCTGTAGATGCTCTACGAATTCACTGTCAAATTTCGTGCATAAATGTTGAATGTCGTCTGTGTTTTAGCTATTCGTAACGATATTATTTTGTTGCTAATAATGTTTGAAAAACCGTTCCCGTTACGGGGTAGTTAATGGTTAATTTAATTAGCACTGACGAAAACACTTTGTTAGGTTAGGCATGAGTTGCCTTCATCCAAGCGCAGAAGGTTTAGAATTTGATGAACGATAACGTCCGGTACTTACTCATACAATTTGTAAGAATAGCAGTAACTGCAATATAAGTAGTGCTATTTTGGATTCCACTGCGGCGACCGTGTTATTGGGTTAAGTTCTCTGTAGGCTTTAATACTGTTGTTTTTTTGCTGGAGATTATAATTGATAGAGGTGACGAGATGGCTAATTAATATTATTATAGCAATAAAAGCGCTTACATTATTAAGCAGAACGGTGTTTTCTTCCAAGATGAAGTGGGTTTGGAAATTAGAATAGTTGAGTTGGATGAAAAAAATAGGGTGCGGAGTAATCTTATCACAGTTCTGAAGTGCTGAAGGGGCCCACCGGAAACCTAAGTTATCTTCTACAAGAAGACTTAAGATGTTTATCAGTGGGATAAAGAAACCACTTGATTGTATTGGGTTGGAAGTTGAATGAGCTCGTGCGTTTAGTGTTGTAGGTTTGAGCTGGTGAATTGAGAGTCGTTTTGTGTCTTGAACTTGAGTGCGGTTCTTTCCTAAGAAGTTTTGTCATATCTCTAAAGCATTTTTGAATATACCAAGTTATATATTATTTATACATTCATAAGCTTGTCCTAGGCAATCTTTCCATGGAGAAATTATTTGATGAATTTGAATCACATAATGTAGGTTAATCTCTGTATAATATGTAATTAAGTATAATTAATTTTTATAAAATAAAAGAATTTAAGTATATGTCATAAGAGGTAGTTAGATCATAAATAAATGATGATAGTGTCTTATCTAATAATTTCTCCATTTTATATATTTGATTTAAATTGGAGAAAACAAACTTATTACAGGCAAGTTGGCTTCCATTTCCTAAGATATCCAAGTGGAACACCTGAGTATAATCTCTTTCTTCCAGTGATAACATGAGAAGATTTTCACTTTATACATTATATTAATATATACTTTCTATTTTTTTCTTCCTATATTATATTATTTATTATATGCCTTTAGTTGTCTTCCCCCTCTTTACAGGTTAGTTGGGTTATGGCAAGTTTTAGGCCATTAATTACTTCCGGGATCTTATCATTTTTCTTCCTACACCCTATCACACTACCCTTATTACTTTCCGAATTTATTTTCCGGAATACAATAAACAATTTCGAATTTCTTTTTCCAGAAATCAATCACTCCCTCTTTTAAATCAAAACATTTTGTGAAGGTTTTGATAAGGTGGGAGGTGAAATTTGATGGGAATGGAGGAAGCTTTAACCCAACTTTTATTATACCAAAGATCTAACACCACACTTTCTATTTTCTCGCTCATTAAATATATTATTTTTCTATTTTTAATTTATATTTTTTCGTGTGGAAATATACCTAAAAATATTTGCTTTTATGGACAGGATTAAAAAAAATAAAAGGAAAAAAATATTAAAATTTTCAAGACTCTATGTTCTTTTACTTGTCATAGTTTTTTCTTTACATAATCTTTCATGTTTAAAAGTCCAACATTAAATATTAATCACTTAAATGCATATTTTTAATATATATATATATATATATATATATATATATATATATATATTACTCTAGTCTAGCCTATTTTTAGATAGGCCAATACGAAAATTATCTAAATTAAATATAAATTATGACTTTACAATAAATATTTAAATAAGGTATAAATTTATTCTTTAGAAAGGTTTATAAACTTAATTCCTGTTTAGGTCAAAATGCTTAAATTTATAATGGTATACATGACATATGACTTTAATATATTATATAATTAATATAATAATAACAAAAATAGAAAAGCATTTATATTTTATAAATAATTTGACATTTTAAAACTTCAAACCTTTTGTTATGGTCTTCTGATTTTAAATTAAATAAGTTTCTATAAAAATTTTAACAAACTTTATTTTTTAATATTTGGGATAACCCAAATTTAATGTAAGGTAGCGATTTGTTTATAACCTCTCATAAAAGAATTAGAAAATAAAAAAAGAAATGAATCGATCTTCTCGTTAAGTTAATTTATAAATATTCTCTTATATTAGTTTATTCATTAAAATATAATTTTAACTCACTGTAACATGTAATTATTAATTTAGAAGTATTTATAATAAAAACTGACCACAAATTATGAGAGTGTTGAGCTTTTTCAATCTTACTAGATGCTAATCCCGTTTTTTCAAATATGAGAAAAACCAATCTATTAAATCAGCACTTATCTCAAGTGGAGGAATACGTAGATTGTATCTAATTTAATCCAAGGAAAATATTTTTATTTTGATTAGTTAGGTATATTCCTAGATGCTAGGTAGAGGTGTACACAAGTAACATTGTTTGTAATTTAATGTAATCAAGATATTTAGTATATTGTTTTCTATCAAACTTGAACTAAATGAAATTTACATACGAAACAACCTGTTGAACCAGCACTTATCTCAAATTGACATACGAAACTAAAGAAGAAAACTTGTAAATAGGCAAGGTTATCAAAGTTTAACTAAATATATTACTTAATCAATCCAAGATATTTTTATTTATATTAAGCGGTTTGTATTTTTCTTTCTACCAAACTAATAGCAAATGAGGTGAAAAAATTGTTTATCTTTTTAATTATAAATGATAATAAAAAGTAAATAAAATGTAAAGATAATTAAAAATATATGAAAACAACACAAAGTCATTAAATTCATGAATTTAAAATAGGGCTAGAGATATATTTGTAGTTTCTAATCTTAGACTTGAAATTAAAATTTGTTTCTATAACAAACTTTGATATATTTTAGTTTATAAACTTTAAAAATGAATGGATATTAGTACTCTAATTTATCAATGTTAAATTCTTTTGTGTTAAATGGTTTCTATACTAGGATTTGAACTAGAATGTGTCAAACAGTATATACAGTTCAAAATAAGTCTGAAACATTGTTTGGCATGTCAAAAAAATGTAATGTGTTCGGTTAAAATTATACTTATTTATTTTTAAAGTTTGAAGACTAAATTATATCAAAGTTTGAGATAAAGATAAATTTTAATTTTACGTCAAAATTTAAGAACTAAAAATATATTTAATCCTTTAAAATACTTTAAAAGTTTGCATAAAATAAAAGTTGTTGTATTTGAACGTGTAGGTTGGATTGGACCCAAACAATGTATTCATCATGTTTAAATTTATGAGTTACTTTAACTCAAATTTGAGTTATTTTAACCCTTCAACACCCTTGTTTACATTGGGGGACACATTTGAAAAAGAGTGAATGGATAGATTTAAAAAGATTTAGGAGAGAATGCACTTTTGTTTATTTTGAGGAATTGAAAGGTGAAAGTGAATATATTTGAATGGACAATATGTGAAACTTTATGAAAGATTTGATGAATGTGAGAAATAAAAAAAACTTTTAATACATAAAAATTTAATATTACACATTTGCCCTTATGGTTAAAAGTAATAGGTTTAATCATTCGCGAAGTCCTTATTTGGAGTGAGAATCTCAAATTAGTCCTTTTCTTTTTTCGCGTCTCAATTAGGTTCTTATTTTTGTGAAAATTGCAACAATTACACTCCTTTCGTTAAATTGGGCCTAACGACGTTATTAAGTTCACATAACATACTAATGTTGTTTTCTAAATGACGTGGAATTTTTTATTAAACATTGAACCGAGCCACATTATCACCCTTGACACATCATCATCTTTCACCTCGAGAAACCTTAGCCTTTCCCTTTCCATCCATCGTCAAACCACCAGCTACAAACTCGTCGCAAATTGCCATGGGGATCCTTCATCACCTCCACCACTGATCAACATTGCTGGACCACAACACTCATGTTCTCCACCATCAATAACTAAAATCATATCGTTGTTTTTGATTCATCTCCAACACGTCACCGCCATCAACAACTCAAACATGCATAGAGATTTCAAGCCAAAACCCAAATATCAAGCCCTAATTGTAGGGAACATCGAACCACCGCGAGAAAGCCACGAATCGCGCCACCTCAACGTCAACCTCAGTCCTGCAAAGTAGAAACAGTGACCACCTACTCTCCATCAACATAGAACCCTAATTGCAAAACTACTTCGTCTTTGCCTAATCGCGAAACTTAATTTGGGGCTATGATATGAAAATGTTCGTGATCTGGGTTCTTTGGGTGTCACGATTAAGGCCTATGAAGGCTGTTGCCTTGATTTTCCTGTAGGTTTCCATGAAGATGAACAAGAGTAAGGAACTTGGTTCTAGATTAGGGTTCCATGGTGGACTCGTGGTTGTGGTTGATGCTCCCACAACTGTTGCGACTTGGACAAATTGGATTTTGAGTGAATCTATTTCTAGGTTTTCCTCTTTCTTTCCTCTCTAGGTTGATGAAGATGGAGAATAAGCAATGATGTAATGGAAATGAAATGAGCGAGGGTTTCTCTGCTTCATGATTTCTGTGTGAGATTTGATTCACGGTGGTTGCAAACACTACAAAAATACATGAAATTATCGACGGAATTTCATCGATGGAATTATTTCTATCGGTAAATGATGCATTACCGACAGATTTTATCGATGGATGTAAAAAATGTAATTACCGACGGATATTTATCTTTTGATAATTATCGACAAACAAAATCTGTCGGTAAAGTCTTCAGTAATTACCGACGAATAAAATCCGTCGGTAATTCTATCGATAATACATATTTTAGTTATCGTCGGTCAAAAGCTGTCGGTAAAGCCTTTGGTAATTACCGACGAACAAGTT